GGCCTGCCCCTGACAGCATCTATTTTTCCTTCCATAACTTGTATGCCATCTTCAGATACCACGTGACCTAAGAATTCCACTTTCTTTTGAAATAGAAAACACTTATTTGGATTGAGTTTCAAGTTGGCATTCCAGAAGCGGTCAAAAACTTTTTTCAGGTTATTGAGATGTTTTTGGAACGAATATCCCATGATCATGACATCATCCAAATATACCAGGCAAGTTCTCCATGTAAGGCCTCGCAAAACAAGATGCATCAGTCGCTCAAACGTAGCTGGAGCATTACACAATCCGAAAGGCATTACATTAAACTGGTATAGCCCGCTTCCGGTACTGAAGGGTTTTCTCTTTGTCATCGTCATGTATTGCCACTTGCCAGTATCCACTTTTGAGATCCAAGGTGGAAAACCATTTGGAGCCCGATAGAGTTGTTAATGTATCGTCTATTCTCGGGAGAGGGAAGCTGTCCTTCTTGGTGACGTCATTAAGCCTTCGGTAGTCCACACAAAATCTAAGAATTCCATCTTTCTTGGTAACCAATACTACTGGCGCAGACCATGGACTATTTGACTCTTCAATGATTCCCTCTTCAAGCATTTTATCAATTTGGTTTTTCACTTCCTGTTGCTTAGCAATGGGCATACGTCCTGGTGGTTGTCTAATTGGGTGTGCCAATCCTGTATCAATTTTGTGTTGATTTAAGCTGGTCCGTCCGGTTTGATTGTCCATCACAAATACGTCTGCTTCTTTCAAGATGAAATCTGTGGCTTCTTGAAGTCTATCTGGATCGAGATGTTTCCATAATTTCGCCAAAGTCTGCATCAAGGTGTCTGTATCCAATTTGGATTTCACAAAATGTCGCTTATCTGGTAGGTCACAGTTCCATATTTGCTTAACTGGATCGAGAGCTCCAATAATGTCTCCTTCTTTTATACTCACTGTTTCGGAAGAAACATTGGCAATTCTTATCATAATGTCTCCATTTGTTCTTACTAGAGTCTTTCCAACAAGAAATCTTTCTGGTTTATCTCCAATGAAATTACGTGTTAGCCAAACGCAGCACCCAGGGTTTGTTCCTAATCTTCCGCAAATGATCTTCTCAGTACTTCCAGGAATCCTCACTGGGGTTTTGGCCAAGATCTTAACGGCTTTGGATTCTTCTTGTGTTGTTAGGACAATTTTTTCGTTACCAAATTTAAGGATGTTCATGGAAGGATCAAAAGAGAAACCATGTTGGCCGATCAAATCCATTCCCAAAATAAAATCATCTTCTATATCGGCGACTAATGTTCTGTGCCTGAAGGTGGTAGATCCAAAAGTAAGCTCAACCATAGCTTCTCCTTGAATTGGTGCCGAATCGCCTGTGACTGTTCGTAGTGACAGGTTTCTAGTGAGCGGTTGGATTGCCCGAGACTTGACTAATGTTCTTCTAATTACGGAAACTTCAGCACCCGTGTCAAAAGTGATGGTTTTCGATTCTCCATTGATTTGTCCTTCGAACTTTAATCCTCTATAATGACTGCCAATGATTTTATGTAAACAACCCTGGGGGCTTCGTCATTACTAACCAGCATTCGCCCCTCCATACTGGTTAGTTCTCGTTTCCCTGTCTGTTATTGGGGCTGGCGTCTCTCGATCTCGAAAAGCGTTGGAAATGATCCCTTAATGGAGAGGACATCCTTACTTTAGAATCTCGTTGAATATTCCCACGCTTATGGCACCGGTAGCACTCTATTCAGTTTCTCGGGGTTGATGTTTGTCTGGAATCGTTTCCCATTTTTCTATCTTCTAGTAACAGTTTCTCCATTTTCTCCATGAAATTACTCATTACAGTCTCGAAGTTACCATCCTCCTTTGACAACTGTTTATCTTTTGGGTCCTCAATGGACACTGCTCGTATTCTGGGTCGTGAGGCACCAAAGATTGCCTCCAGTTCCAATGCTCGGACAAGGGCTTCGCTACTTTGTCTGAACTTAGACATTCTCAAGTTTTCCTGGATTTTGGAATCTCTGATACCATCAATGAACGCAGATACTGCCATCCATTCTTGCATGTCTTCCCCAGCTGCAGGAAACGCCAAACTCACTAGCTTTTTAACTTCTGATTCGAATTCTTGTAAACTCTCACCGGGTTTTTGAATTCTTGATTTGACTTGAGTTCTAAATACTTCTTGCCTGTAATGATCTCCGAAGCGCAATTCTAACGTCTGACTTAGATGCTGGTAATTCTGTTGGTAGACTGAAGGAATGGATTGGGGAAGGTCTAAGGCAGGTCTTCGTAGCGCCACTATTAGTGCTGTAGCTTTTTCTTGGTCGTTCCTTCCGTTGGTATTTGCAGCAGCTTCAAATTGTCGGATATACATGGTCCAGGATGTAGAACCGTCAAAAGTTTGTGGTTTTATCTTCATACCAGCGAATGCCCCAACACTAACTTACTAACATCGTCTTCAACTTCTTGAACATTGTCTTTAACTTCTTGAACATCGGCTTTGACTACAGCTTTTACTTCCTGAACGGCGTTTTTAACTTCTCGAACATCGTCTTCAACTTCTCGAACATCGTCTTTAACTTCGGCTTTTACTTCCGTAATCTTTTGTTCTAGGTTAGCGACAAATCCGTGTATGTTTTGAAATATTTTCTGTAGTTGTTCAAGGTCTTCTTGCCGTTCTTTCTATCGCCTGGCTTCTTCGTCTTGTTTCTCTTGTTGTCGTTTAGCTTCTTCGTCTTGTTTTTCTTTTTGTCGTCTGGCCTCTTCGTCTTGTTTCTCTTGTTGTTGTTTAGCTTCTTCGTCTTGTTTTTCTTTTTGTCGTCTGGCCTCTTCGTCTTGTTTCTCTTGTTGACGTTTAGCTTCTTCGTCTTGCTTTTCTTTTTGTCGTCTGGCTTCTTCGTCTTGTTTTTCTTGTTGTCGTTTGGTCTCTTGAAGTTCCAACATTTTGCGCAGAAGTTCTTCAACTTTTTGTTCGTTTATTTTTGCTTGTTGTCTTGTGATAGGCATATACAGAACGTTCTAGAATTTCCCACGAACTTTCTCCAAATATCTTTTCTGGTCTTTGCTCGAAGTTCCAAACACGCCGGTGAAGTCACAAATTGGATAACTTGCTTTATTATAGAATAGAATGTTCTAGAATGTTCTTGAAATTTCTTTTCTAGATGTCAATTGATACAGCAAACACGTCGGTGAAGTCACAATTTTGATATCTCCCTTGGTTTCCAAATAGAATGTTCTAGAATTTTCCCGAAACTCCTCGAAAAACTTTTCCTGAATGACGGTTGATGTTCCGAATACGTCGGCGAAGTCACAAATTCGATATCTCCCTTAGTTTCCAAATAGAATTTTCTAGAACTCACTCGAAGATTCACTATCACAGTCAAAATCGGGTATAGAGTCACTTCCGGGGTAATTTACACGATCGGATAAGTCTCTTTTTGTGATTGTCACTGTTTGCACTGACTAATTGTCCCAGTGTTCACTTAGTGTTCAGTTTTTACACTACAGTAGTGTCCCCGCACTTCCGCAATTGGATTTCACTCTGCAGTCCTTTATGTCTCACTTCTGACACCAATTGTCACGGCTTTGTGTTGCCTGACAGAAATCTTGAGTTCGTTTCGTTTATTCCAAAAATCAAAGTCCAATTAACACAGCAATAATTTATTCCACGTAACAATACACTCTGACGCTAATTACTTTAATAACTAACTCAACAATTAAACTCTTTACAATAATAAGCACTATTTAACTCGTATCACAGTCAAACTTTAACTTAAAACTTACAAGCTAAAACCCGTCCTTTTATATCTATGGTGAGTAGGCTAAAGAGTACAAGTCAAAATTAGACAAATCAAGAAAAATGCTTTCGAAATATTAGACTTTAAAATAATCGGATTTTTTGTGGCTGTTTCGGACGAATCGAATTTTTAACTTTACAAAGGTGTTTTTTTATTAGAGATAATCTATTTTTTTATTTTTTTTTTTGTTCTGTTTTTTTTAATTACAAAAAAAAATGGACTTATACTCTTTTGACCAGACCTATAGATGACATATATTATTATGAAATAAGATAATATGACTTATAATATCTTGACCTGACCTAAGAAATGACTTATACTAGTTTTGCTCAACCCAAAATTTGATATTTGCAAAAACTGGAAAAGAAGGCCAACTCTTTTTCACAAAACACTTTTTTTTTGCTGATAAAATAACCTCTTTGGTCACCAAATGGTACTAAGAGTATAAGTCGACCGACAAAATCAGGATAGGAATAGTATAAGTCTACTTGTACTATTTGAATTTTATTAATAGTGTATAATCTAAATAGTACAATTCAACTTATACTGATATGCCCAACAGAATAAAATTCCTTTTAAGTTAAACTATGTGGATTGAAATTAAAAGTAAAGTATTTCAAATAAATTGACTGATACTGTTTGGACCAGTCGATGTAGGAACCGAAAATATATACCAAAATGACTTAAACTCATTTTCGCAAAATTTTGACTTGTACTTGTTAGCTCACCCACCATAGATATATAGCCGTAATTTATTCCTGTAAATTCCAGAAGAACCGCGAGCCACCTTGTTCCCGAACATCAACGTGAAATCTCGAATCTTTGCAATTCTGTACAGGATTCTTGACACACTGGCGGCCGTTGCAATATATTCGGATACTTCAAAAATGTTTTTAAAATATTCCATAAAATATCATACCTACACAGGTAAAAATATTTTCAATATAGATCGTTTTTAAATCCCAATTTTTTGTGTCTTTGAAGATGATGTTCAAAAAACATTTTCAGACTTTGTAAAAATATTCCTGGATGGATAATCAAAAAATATCGATTCTGTACCACAGAACGTTTAAAAAATGTCCTAAAAATATATTTTTTGGATATTTGGATGTTTTAAAAATACCTTTGATCCGAAGAAAAATAGCTTCAAAAGACATTATTTGGTTATATGGGATTAAATTAAATTAGGAATTAAAATTTTATTTTTATTTCCAGGCCAATTACGAAACATCGAACCTCAAAACGAGAACGCGACGATCATCGATTAACAAAACTCATGGCAGTTATTTTCATGTGTTTTCTCTTCTGTTTCCTACCGTTAATGATAGTCAATGTCTTCGATGAAAAAGTTTCCTATCCAGAATTGCACGTGCTAGCATCCATCTTAGCTTGGGCTTCTTCTGTAATAAATCCATTTATATATGCAGCTACGAACAAACAGTACAGATCTGCTTATAAAAAATTGTTGACAATCGTTCGTTCCAGTATGCCTAGTGGAGCCGATTCGATGCCTTCCAATTCACTGAAGACTAAACAAGAAAAAAATCTAAGTGTTAGTTATAGACAAAAAGGTAGTAGCAGCGTTCTTTAAATAAAATAAATAATGGTTTCTAATGTATTCTTGTAAAAAATATCTTGAGGTGGCACGTTGTTGAATAAGTCAATCCAATTAATTACCTACACTATAAGTTTACGCTCTCAAAAAAAAAAAAAAACAATTAGCCCAAATAGGCAAAAATAATTTGAAATAAGTATCTACACATTTTCAAGAGATTTCTAGATCAAGATATTTATTTTCCTTCAAAGCCTTTTTCTTGGTTAATTTTTTTTACTCTTTTGTAAATGGCAACATAGCCCAGGAAACAAAGGTTTTATTACGCAAACTCCATGGTAGTTGAGTTTAAATTTTTTTCTTATAGATTTTGGGGTGCTGATTACGAATCCGGCATATTCACAAGAGAAATTTACCGGGATCACCTGTTTTTGGGTTTTTGCAAACGTAGCCTTTCCAGTGCGTTTTACACGAAAAAACCTTTTGGTATATTATACAGGACGACATTCCCTACAAATTCTTGAGCATATGTCCATTACCTACCCTTTAGCGAAGGCGGCGCACTTAGAAAAACATGCTTCTGCAAAACATTTTTTTTTCAGCCAAAACAAATGCGAAAACCTACGGCTATTCATCATAGATGTATCGTTGACTTTTTGGTATATTTTTCATAAATGTGCAATCGCGCATTTTTGGAATACCGGGTTTCATCCATCCCCCAAAAACACACCTACGTATTATCTGAACGGCTAATGCTAGCGTGTTCAAATTTTCAGGAATTATCCATGGAGGGTTGCTTTTCAAAAATTCCTATACCTACTTTTTGAAAAAAGTTTTTATTTTTTTTCGGTGGGATGCAGGGATAAAGTTGGGGTACAGTATAGGAAGTTTTATATAACAACCCTACATAAATAATCTCTGAAAATTTAAGCACGCTAGCATTAGCCGTACAGATAATATAAAGGTGTGTTTTTTAGGAGATGAGACCCTGTATTCCACATTTATGAAAAATATACCAAAAAATCAGTCATACATCTATGATGCATAGACGCAGGTTTTCAGGTCGATTCACATTTGTATTGACCGAAGAAAAAAATGATTTGCAGAGCATGTTTTTTCGAAAGAAGTCACCTTTGGGGCGTCACCCTAGCTGAAGGTCAGGTGATGGACATATGCTGCCGCTGAAGAAATTGTAGGATATCATCCTCTACAATTTACCATGAAGGTTTTTTTTGTGTAAAACGCACCGGAAAGGCTACATTTCCAATAAAAAACAAAAACTATCATATTTAGGGGCTTGAAACGGGGTGATCCGGGGCAATTTCTTTTGTGAATATGCCGGATTCGTAATCAGCATCCCAAAATCCATAATAAAAAAAATAAATAAAACTGGACTATCATCGAGTTTGCGTGGTAAAACCTTCCTTTCCTGGGCTAACATTAGTATAGAAATTTTTGTTTACATTTTTATGATTTGGACCATTTTTTTTTGGGTTTTTCTTTATTTTTTTGTTAATACTATAAATTTGATTTTTGACATGTTTATCCTATATTTAATTGATAATTTGGATGTAGATAGGTAGGTACCTGAATTATAATATGTAGAAAATGTTAGCATTTTTCATGCCGCGTCTCAGAGAGGATCTTTGAGCATTTGAGAATGTATAATGACTATTTAAACATTTTTGGTAGAACTAGTAGTATTCATATGTTAAAGTTGTCAACAACACTACATGTGAAATTAAACTCTAAATGTGCTTTGTTTTGTAGGTTGTATGTCTATAATGCTATTTATTTTTATGTATTTATATAATGTGAAAAATGGTTCACTGTAGAAACATTCCTAGACATACCAAAATAAATCGAGTCAAGACTGATTACGGAGGGTAGTAAAAATGCCAAAATATATCCCTGCCAAAAAAAAAATATTTTGTGATATCCACAATTTAGACATTATCTATTGCTATTTTGTTTATAAATTCACAATATAATATACATTATATTGTAACTGCATGTGTCCTAATATAAGCAAATATTATTGTTTTGCACTTTTTGACTTTACCAAATAAAACTGTCTATAGGTACAAGGTGACAACTGTACAACTATAACTTTTTTTTTAATGAAAAGCAAATGAAATTTGGTACCTTGGTTTAACACATAAATATGCATTATTTGACGTATTCAATAATTGTTTTTTGTCACTTCCGGCATATTCGGAAATGATCCATATTTTTTTTATTTTAGATGGGACACCTTGTAAATTTTTGTTCATTTTCATGGAAAATGCCACATTTGTTACTTTTTGACACAACCTCAAAATTATTTAACTTTTCAATCTAGATGAGTGCCATGAATAAGTTGAAACAGTTAATTCAGTATCAAGTAGCAAGAAAACAAAGTGTTAATCGTCTTTGGCTTTTTAAGTACAGGCTCACTAAAAATTTGCATAATCGTATTTTTGATATTTACTCAATTTTCTCAAATCAAACGCAGATGGGGTATTAACATTCGGAAAGCGAATTTTATCACCAACAATTTGTGAATCCATAATTCATTCATATTTTATTTGAATAATATACAAATTAGAAACCTAAATAATTTTGACGTTATGTGTCAAAAAGTAAGAAAGTGGGTGCCACGGTATATGTCTGTCCCTTTGAAATAAGGAAAATATGACCATTTTCGATTAAACCGGAAGTGAGTGTTCAGTTGTCACCCTGTGGGTATAAATTTATAAACGTTTTTTATTTTTATTTCCAACGGAAGCTTGACAGCATCATTATTTGTGGGTACTTTGATGACTGAATAAACCTACTGTGGGTTCAGATTGCCAGGGGCGGATGGGTCCCCTCAGAACGGCGCGGGAAGTCGATTGAAACGGCGCCGCGCCTGCCTAGTAAAAAAATAATGAAAAGCACAAGTGATCGACTTCTGCGCATACCCTACCGTTGAGTTGAATAAAGACAAGACGACGTGGTGTAAATCGCCAACAAACAGTTTTCTAACTACATATATTCAACCAATGAAATTCGCTCTGATTGGTTCATGATTTCTGTGAGAACAGTCCTAGTGTACGGAAACGGGACTCTCTTGTCGCCCGTCTTTTTCTACTCTATTATGCATGCAATCTAGAATAGTAAAAAGAGGCAGAGAGGCGAACATACCTCAAAACGGAACATAGCAAGCAATGGAACGTGCCATAAAACATTAATTAGGGATGGTATGGGCGCTTAGGTACAAGAAAAGATGACGAAATTACTCTATTCGCCGAAAATCTGTACAGAGACGAGACTGTCTTGTCGCCCGTCTTTTTCTACCCGATTATGCATGCAATCTCTAATAACAGAGGGATTAAACATGTTTTTTTGCGTATACGTAAACGTAGATTTTGAACCGTATACATGCGCAAAAATATCAAATTCGCGTTCACGTAGGTGTGACCTGTAAACTAACGTATCTTTGCGTACGGACCAAACGTAAACCGTATCCGCCCTAATTAAGCCGAACTAGAGATTGAAGTTTACCGGTAATTTTCATTTGTTCTTTCTCAGTGGTAATTTACCGGTAATTTTTCGGTAATTTTGGTAATTTTGGAAATATTTCATAAAACAAACAATTATGACCATATACTACATATAAGTTCAAGGATTATATACTTTCAGGATGTTTTACCTAAATAACCATTTATCATAATTCATAATAGTGTTTGTTGTGAAACCTAACCTTGTAGAAATATTGCAATAAACAAATAATAATACCTAATTCCTAGAACGAAAAACGAGCTAAGAAAATAAAACAAAAATAAATTCTCCTCTTCTCCTAATGGGATGGACAAAAACACTTGTGGAAAAACATTACACCTAACTCTTGCGGAAAATGTCTTTTCCGCCCTTAACAGCTTGCCAACTGTCGTCGCGGGCGGAAAAGCACCACTTTCCGCACTTGTTAGGTAAATAACTATTTGTTCATGCCAACCCTGAAAGCGCGTTATACAGATTCACAACTAGATGGCGAGTAATGCATGGAAAGGATTGTCGCCTGAATGTGATTTTATTCAGGAAGCCTTTCTGAAAATTACCGGTAAAGAAATTTGTCGGGTTCAATTACCAAAATTACCGTTACGGCGGTAACGTTACCACACTTTAATCTCTAAGCCGAACACACCAATTGGGAGCCAGTTCGTATGGAAAAGGGGAAAACGAATACAAACGAAATAGATACGAACATTATCACAACAGATAGGTACCTAAATTTATTCGTGCAGCCGCAAAGATACGTTTCCTCTTACGTATTTTCTTGTTTAAACTGTAGTGATAGTTTACGAGTCTCGTACGTACATAAATCTACGTTTACGTCAACGCAGAACTTCTCGTAAAGTGGTACTTGTTTAGTAATAAAAAGAGTCAGACGAACCTGAAGACACCTCAAAACGGAACATAGCAAACAATGAACTTGCCATGGAACTTTTGGAATGGTATGGGCGTTTACGGCATGGATACTTGGGATTTACGAAGTTCCAGGAGTTGCAAAGTTGCAAGCAGCCAAATCAATAAAAAAATTAGCTATTTGTATCTGGCTTTTTTGCTTTTTCAATCATTTTCGAACTTCCCGCGACGGCGCCGACGACGACTACTGAAGGACCGGCGCACCGGGAAATCTCCCGGTATCCCGGTGGGCCCATCCGCCCCTGCAGATTGCACATTCAAGCAGTTGTAGCCAGTCGCTGTTGTAAACCAGCTCTTATAAGACGTTCTATTTATTTTTATATTTTCCACGATTTTGTTTGTCCTCCGCATTGTTTCGCATCTGTCGTTCGAAATACGACGAGCCTTGAACGATACTTCCTCGTCAGACTGATCTATTCAGGACCGAAGCCACCCAGTCAACCATATCGCTCTGCCATGCTTTCATGTTTGTCTTGAATACATGTTTGCACCCTTTACATGTCCCTCCTTGGCTGTTTTGGCTATTCTTCAGTTGGAAATACATAATTTGCCCATTTTCATATTGATGATGAGAACATTTTTCTATATGCCAAGTAAAAAAGTCTATATAGTAATTTTAAATAATGGGTGTCTCAAAACGACCCGACTATTTTGGATGAAATTAAAAACAAATCTGCTTGTTTATTGTAACCTATTATCATTTTTTGTCGTTAATCTAGAAACAAAAATATATTACTTGAAAATAACATTTAATAAATGACGCCCATTTCGTTCACGACGCTCTTCAAAGTTTTCACGGAGACTTCTGAAAATGTTCACAAGAAGTTGTCTGCCTTGCATTTTTAAAGTTATACAGGGTGAATAATAAATTCATGCAAAAATACAAAAAGTATGGATGTCTGCCATATTGACAATAATTTTTTTTTCGGATTTCTGTATAGGCCTTTAGTAAGTTGATATCAATATCTCCAGACGTTTTTGCCAGTTTTTTGATAAGTGCCCTTTGGCAGCAGATACAATATTAAACAACAAAGTTGACAAAATCTTGTGAGCACAATATTTAAAGGGCTGTATCTTGAAAACGGTTGTATTGATTTCGAACATCTTTGCAGATTTTGAAAGCCCATTTTTTTTAGAGGTGCCACGACTCGCTTGCTTTTTTTGCAGCTGGCCCTGTTTACATTATACAGGGGTCGAGGAAAAAATACACCTCAAATTAGGCAAATTATGATAATTGTTCTTTCAACTCTATAGAAATTGATCTGTATGCCTTTTGTTTTCTTTGAAAATTGGTTAGGTGATACTCTGGGCCAATATCTCGGAACACTTTTTCCATTTTTTGCATAAGAGTTTCCTGAAGAGCCATTTTAGCACCACAATGTTGGAACGATGTGGCTTACGGTTTATTGGATTGTGAAACGTTTTCCCACAATGGAAGCTCATTTTATGGCAATTAATCGGCTATTTTTGGAAATTCAAATTTTCTCATTATACAGGGGTTGCACAAAAGTAAGAGTGAGTTTCCTAAACTTTTTCAAACGGCTTTAGCTTGAGAACAATTTTGGAAGCTTATTTTATGGAAGTTAACTCTCCTATTTTTTCTAATGGAAAACTTTGCATTATACAGGGAGAATTATTTGGCTATTTTTGGAAATTGAATTGTTCTCATTATACAGGGGTTGCGTCAAAGTAAACCTGAGTTTGACAAAAATTCTCAAACGGCTGTAGCGTGAAAACAATTTTGGAAGATCATTTTATGGAAGTTAACTCTCTTATTTTTCTAATGGAAATCTTCGCATTATACAGGGATTACCGAAAAAGAAACTTAATTTTGCAAAAAATGCTTGAACGGCTGTAACTTGAGAACGCTTTTGGAAACTCATCAGTTTGTCTCATTTTTCACGAACTGGCGTGACTTTTTTTGCATAACATACCCTTTTAGTATACACAGATCAAGCATAAAAACAAAATTAAAATTGCCCAAAAATGGTTAGTACTGGTAGTTTTGAAGTTATGCGAATTGGCTTATTTTCCAAACTTGCTGTTCAAACGTCGAAAAAGTGATTTTACTTTGTTGAATAGTGCTCTTTGGCTACAGATACGCTAGTTTTCTTATATTGTTGGTAATTGAATAGCATTGTTTTCGTAAGTTACAGCCATTAAAGCATTTTTTGCAAACTTAAGTATACTTTTCGGTAGTCCCCGTATAATGCTAAGTTTTTCATTGAAAAAATAAGAGAGTTAACTTCCGTAAAATCATCTTCCAAAATTGTTTTCACGCTACAGCCGTTTGAGAATTTTTGTCAAACTCAGGTTTACTTTTACGCAACCCCTGTATAATGAGAACATTTAATTTTCCAAAAATAGCCGAATAATTCTCCCTGTATAATGCAAAGTTTTCCATTAGAAAAAATAGGAGAGTTAACTTCCATAAAATAAGCTTCCAAAATTGTTCTCAAGCTAAAGCCGTTTGAAAATGTTTAGGAAACTCACTCTTACTTTTGTGCAACCCCTGTATAATGAGAAAATTTGAATTTCCAAAAATAGCCGATTAATTGCCATAAAATGAGCTTCCATTGTGGGAAAAAGTTTCACAATCCAATAAACCGTAAGCCACATCGTTCCAACATTGTGGTGCTAAAATGGCTCTTCAGGAAACTCTTATGCAAAAAATGGAAAAAGTGTTCCGAGATATTGGCCCAGAGTATCACCTAACCAATTTTCAAAAAAAACAAAAGGCATACAGATCAATTTCTATAGAGTTGAAAGAACAATTATCATAATTTGCCTAATTTGAGGTGTATTTTTTCCTCGACCCCTGTATAATGTAAACAGGGCCATCTGCAAAAAAAGCAAGCGAGCCGTGGCGCCTCTTAAAAAAATGGGCTTTCAAAACCTGCAAAGATGTTCGAAATCAATACAACCGTTTTCAAGATGCAGCCCTTTAAACATTGTGCTCATAAGATTTTGTCAACTTTGTTGTTTAATATTGTATCTGCTGCCAAAGGGCACCTATCAAAAAACTGGCAAAAACTTCTGGAGATATTGATGTCAACTCACTAAAGGCCTATACAGAAATCCGAAAAAAAAATTATTGTCAATATGGCAGACATCCATACTTTTTGTATTTTTGCATCAATCTATTATTCACCCTGTATAACTTCAAAAATGCATTTCTTCGAAAAAAATATTCTTGTCCCACATGGTCTACAACATGGACTATCGAATACCATAAATTGCATTAAAAACAAAAATAAAATAAAAAAGTTATCATAATTTGAATA